AAAACATTGTATTTTCATTGTACCATTTCTTTATAATCCAAAGTCCTAAGCTTTTCAACTCAATTCAATACTATTATACGATATACATAATAGTATAAATACCATATCACAATGTTTCAATTGCATTCATCATTGGAAAATATGAAGAAGTAATTCGTATGTGAAGTTAAAGATGTATTTAATGAATAAAACAAAACCGTTAAAATTAAGTTTTCAAAACCGATCCATTGACCCGATTTAATTACTTCTCAGTTCAGTGAGAATACATTTCCACGCATAAACGGATAAAACCACTTAAAAGTGGCGCTCAGAAATGGAAAATTATGCACGGTTTGTGGAACGACAGACCGCCCACTGAGGGACTGGATGCTCCTATATCTGGCATCACTATTTCCAGGTAACCATGAATGCCTTGTAACAAATCTGCCTTCAACCGAAAGTAGATTATTTATGACTATTTTTTTAGTCTTAGATACTCATGCATGTTACAGGTACTTAAATTTAAACCAACAACTGAGAAATTTTATCGCTGTCTGTCCTAAATCACTGAAGTGTTAAATCAAAGAATGCTGATAAAATTCTAAGCAATTTCAGATTTTGGCTAGAAAGTAGAATTGAAAAAAAGCCCAGCAATGACGTGATAAAGTAACAAACATTTTTGCAGGGACTCAATGGGTCAGTTTATCGAGAATTTATAGCATGGCACCCATTGGATTTTTCAACGAACGCCAAGCTTTGAAAAGACACGCGAGCGCGCTGACGACCAGTCTGGACTAGAGTGCCAATTCTATGCGAGTCGCGTTCACGCGGCACAACATTCCAAGAAAAAGGGTGGAACGATAGAGAATTGCGAAAGCAATAAATTGCATAGGAAATGAGCTCAACAGAATTAAGCATTCACTATTTAGCCCACCACCAAGACAGAGTACACTAATAAATACTTACAATAGTATGAAGCATGCAGTAGCAAGAAGATTTATGGAACCTTCCATGATCCACAAAGAAACAAATACTGTTGATTGCTGTATAAAGTCCAATTCTATATTGTTTATCTGCCGTTGACATTTCGACGTTTATACATCTGTTGTGCTTCAGAGCCATGATTTCAAAGCCCACGAAGTCAGTTGTTTCCCAAGTAGCATATCCACTTTGAAAATCATAGCAGAGTAATCAGTGGCTTCTGCCAGGAAGAAGCAGGGCTGCCAATGGTCCAGCAAAGGGTTTTCAAAGGGCCAGATTGTGAACGCACCCCCATATCCGCGTCCAATGAAGAAGGCGGTGGCCTGAAGCCATTACGACCGCTTCGATTTTAAAAGCCCAGCGACCAGCAAAAGTTGCACAATAGAAGTCGCTCAAGGTATAATAGGAGCCCGACTGCGATACCCTAAATCTGATATATCATTTCAACGCCAATATCATAAGAGCTTTGCGAGTTTCCGTCACAAGCAGTCTTGGAAGATAACTAAGAAACTAAGAGGGAAACTTCAGGAGATAATGCGATCAGCTGGCATAAAGATGATACGTCAATTAGCAGTCACGTAAGTCACACAACGTGAAGGAACTCCAAATTCATAAATGATCAGTTTCTCAAAAAATGTTTTATTTTACACATCGATATTCGGTATCACTTAAGGATATTCACAATAATTCGCACACCTTGTTTATATTCAATGAATGATCAATAACCATCTAGAAAAAAATTCCGTTATGAACAATTTAAATATTTTATATAATACCAAATTGGAGAGAGGCTAGATCAATGTTGAACCTAAAATATTTACAAATGCTTCATAAATTCTACAGCTATTTACTTAGCGTTGAAAGCATTCAAGATTGGCTATACTTGAGCTAATAAAGTAATTACTGTTAGCTGGCATAATTCAGATATCACGTCTGGCATTAGATTACGACCCCACCCTGGAGTTGCTGCCTGCGTAATTTTATTGCGTGGACCCGGAGGTTCGACACAATAACTCGGTCGTGACTTCGGGTCCATTCGATCTTCTGAAAGGTCAGAGCTAACCCCTTATTGCTGCCCGTGTGGAGAGATCACGTATTCCAGTGATATTCTTACCTATATTGAGCGGATCAGGCAGGAAGCAGTAATGCCCCAGGGTGCTTTATTCAGGGGACCAACTGGGTGGTATGACTTAAATTAGGCTTCTTTTCGCCAACGTCACGCTCAGATGTGAAAAGCTCTTCGTTAAAAGGATCTAGTATACGCAAGGCACATTTCATATTTTTGGAGTGGAATAAAATGGAAGCATTTTCCCAACATGCTCACGAAAAATGGATGGCATACCAAGTGGTTAATCGATTGAAAACGTATTGAAAACATGTATTCTGCAACGCCACATTAATACGTAGTAAAAATAATAATGACAATGATGATACACAAATTTTCAATGGTCGTTATTAATTTTCATTGAGCATTGTAGAAATTTTGATGGTGCCTGCTGCTGATTGAACGTTAATATACAGACATTTGTGTAGTGAGCAGCTTTAATCATAAAAATTCCCAAGAAGAAAGTCTAAACGACTAAATAATGAAAAAGAACTGGGTCGTTAGTTCGCGATAGCATCATGCAGAGATAGAGGTAGGTTGAGGGCGTTCACAGTTAAAGGAGCAGCAAGAGAATAAAGAAGCGAGGCGGAAGACTGGTTTAGCTGCGCTCAGAATTGTGTATAGCGGCAGCCTCCAGACGCTGCCTCGCCCACGCACATCAGCTCCCAGGCACCAGATCACCTTGACTTTCCAAGGCGCGATCACAACTGCTCTGCACTCTATCTTCATGCTTCTGGAGCAACATTCAACCAAGTGATAACTTCCAGTGTTCGTGACTGAATAAAGTAATCTAAAATATTTAGAAATAAGTCATTAAAATAAAGTAATCTAAAATATTTAGAAATAATTTATCATTATTTTCTTATCAATTTTTTTCTTATCAAAGGAATTTTCACCGCAGCCTAAACTGAGAAACAGTCGATTGTATGGATAACTATACTATGTATAGAATTTTACAAGAGTTCTCAGCAGCGTGTAATTCTGTCAACAGCGCGGGAAATGCGGAAAATCGAATGAATCCCTACTGCAATAACTCTCAAGAATTAAACGTTTCATTGTGATAGATGAATTATTCACCAAATATTGTTGGCGATTAGACAATTTATAATTGTAGTATTTGAAGCACAAGGAAATAAAATCAAATTTAATCTATTTGAGAGCAGGAAACAATGCGTACAATATGCATTCGCTGAAAGGACTATCAAAACCACCAAAGTACCAAGATTTTTTCAAGAGAAGCAACAATGTAAGGTAAGAATTTGTGTTGAGAAACTATGTTTCTTTACCAACCATAGCCCTTCGAGCTGCTCGAAAATCTCCAGTAAATGTTGACCTTATTTTGGATCATTTTGTTATATTTTTATCGTAAATTCCAAGTGAGAAAAATGAGGCGCGCGGCGAGCGGTCTTTGGAGAATTTCGTAGTCGAGCTCCTAATATGAGGGGAAAATGCTGAACGAGAAATTGGTTTACCTTCACTGAACCGTCAAATTAACTTCCCGACTTTGAATGATTACACTTCATAAGGAATTTTATTGAATTTGAGAAGGATAAGGGGAAGTGAGAGCGGAATTTTAAGCTGATGTACAAGATGCAATCAAGGAGCTCCAAGACGGCTTACTGGCACTGACTTAAAAGATGCACATGAAATATCAGCGTAAATAATTCCAACCAAACTTTGCTAGGGCTTTCCTGGAGAACGTTGTAAATAATAGGCAATAATTTACACATGGAGTTATATGTAAGAATCGCAATCGAATACGAACGCCATAAACATCGAATAAATACTTTCGTTTCGAATATTCGAAAGAATACTTTTCGAATAAATTACTCCAATTTCTTAACTATTCTTATATTTTTCAATAAGATTCCAACACGGAACATTTTTGGAAAATAACTTCCACATCGAAAAGTTGTAATTTTCAACCATTAGAAAGGAGCGCAATAAAGTTCAGCGGCTCGTGCATAATTTTTATAACATCAGCTCGCAGCTGGTGGGCCAAGAACAGTCAGCCGTTGAATTTAGAACCATCAATTCATTAGCAAGTCGCAATTTATACAAGTACGAGTAGAAAAGTAAAAAGTACGTGTGTATTACTACATCCATACAAGGTCCAGCAAAGTTGAAACCAAGTTGTGAGATGTTGTAAGCTAAGATGCATACACTATAATAACTGGATGATTTAAATATGATGATAAAAAAAACGAACACCTAGTCAAGATATTGTGGACTGAGTTCCCATAAAGAGTTCCCGTCCAAAAGAGTGCAGATATATAAGCACTACTCATTAATGTTGATTCATTTGAAACGAAGACCATCCACTCGAAGCGTCGGAGTTTAATTGACGCCGTCTTGGACGTTAATCTCATTTAAGACAAGTCACGTACGAGACTTAAACTGTTAGTGGATCAGCGACATAAGTGGCTCCATCAAAAACGACCACACGCTCAGCTATCGAGAAGAGATGCTGATTTAACCCGATTGTCTCTAAACTCACAAACCATGAATAATTACATAATTTTATTTTCTAAAGAACAAATTGACTACAATAATGTTAAAGAAGTAATTAAGAGTTCGGATATATGTTATGTGACGAATTTTACAAATTATAAATAAAAAATACTGCTCCTCCATGCAGCACGTAAAATTCCAACCCAAGAACGTAACTGCGTTTTCTTATTCACAATTTCTGTACGGAAAATTTTTTAGCAGTAGCATTTGAGGAGACACGTTTCATATATTGTTTCGAAAAATTAAATTAATTTTGGGTTAAGTATTTAAACAATTGCGTCGTAAGTCGAGTAGAAATTCTACAAGTGTTGCAATGGGCGCTGAATTCGGGAATGTTTTCCTGTAATCATATCTGACATCGAGGCTGACGGGTTCACACGCATCACTATGCATATTAAATTTAGGTATGTACTTCATTACTCACATCTGACGTCGAGAGTGACAGTTTCGTTAAGATCGAGCTGCATGGCAAGGTTGGTGGCGCGACATGTGAAGTCCAAGCCGTCGTCGCCGGCGGTCAAGTTCAGCTTGAGCACGTTGGTGACACGCGTACCTGACAACATGGAAATACACACAAATTGGTTTCAGGAAAACCGTATGCGAAACTAAGGCTAACAATCTGGACGAGTTTCACTTTGTCAATTCCAACGCCAGCAGCACATGTTGCATAGGAATCGATGATTAGTTTTAGCTTAAATGGCCCCTCACATTAAATTAGATTTGAAAAATAGTTTTTAGCACATTTTCTCATTCATGGAAAAAATGCACTATTGTGCTCGCCGTGTCCGTCTGTCTGTCCGTCCGTCCGTCCGTGACCTCAAGTTTTCGTCGACGAGAAAATGCGATCTCTGTCACTCACTGCAGTGAATACGGAGTTATATTTTTTTATGAATGTCATGAATCAAAATATAAAAAAATATATAATAGCACGAATATCGCATCTCGCCAATGACAGCACACATCAACACACGAACCACGGAGCGACAAATTCGAGAGGCCGATAAAAATTTTTTTTTAAAGGCCAATAAAAATTACTTAGTGGCCGATAAAAAAATTTTCATTGAGCTCTCAGTAAGTAGTTGGGAAATTTAACAGGAGTTACCATAGCATGATTCAATAAGAAAATTTAAAGCAGAATGAAGCTCCGTTGATTGTTTTACAATTTTAAAAACATTTTGGAGTTTACACCCTCCTCCCCCTACACTCATAGACCAAATTAACTCCCACTGCAGAACAGAGAAGAAGCAAATTATTCATACGTGCCGAATTTATTGTGGTACCAGTATTTGGTTTGATAGCGAAAACAGAGAATCTGAAAACTTGGGATGAACAATTTTAAATACAAGGTTTTACCGAGGACTACAACTCACCCCCATTGGCAGCCACAGCGGTCTCGATAACTTTACTGGGCACTTGATAACCTCCTCTGAACCACGTGATGACGGCCGCGGGGTTCGACGCGCCAGCTCGGCAAGTCAACACGGCTGAGGTGCCGGCACTCAACTTCTCAGGGGCCACCGCTACCTGTTGGGACAGAGCATAGCAGCTGTCAACAAGGCTTTTCGAATTTCAGTACCAAAGACTAGGAAATATATGAAGTACTCGATGTAAAAAGACCTTTTACATATTTTTCAAAGGTTTGGTTGAATTTCTCATCAGTAAAGATCAACAAAGCAGTAAATATTGCTTAAACGTATCGACACGAAATGCACTTAAAATTCTATGCAAAAATAACTGCAGTCTCAAATGTTCACGAGAAATGGAATGAAGACTAATATGAATAGAAAAATTAATTGCTTCAATAAATTTTTAATAATCTTCCGCATATGTACCTATTGGTAGCTAAATAGCGATCTAATGCACGGGAGTAGCAAGTACAATAACTTTTTAGCACAAATAATCCGTATGACTAAACATCGAAATTTATTGTCAGACATTTGTTGCTCAGCATGCAGCATAGATGTTTAGCTATAATGAAACATAATTATAATTATTTTTTATTATTACCTGAAGATCTTGGGGCGGGAAGTGTACTATGAGTGTTGTAGAGACGCTCACGGGTGAGGCCGACGCTGAGTTGAATGCTTCACAGCGGTACTGGGCCCCGTTGTCTTGTGCTTGAGCAAGTAAGACGATTTCTGCGGTGCTCACGTCGCCCACGAAATGACTTTCGCTGGGTATTTTCTGGCCGTTTCTGTACCATTGGAGTTTGGCGGGCGGGTTGCCACCTCGCGACACGCAGCTGATGGCTTGCTCTTTGTTTTCCTGGAGACCTGTACCTTCGCTGTAGCCGTACAGGACGGGAGGTTGTGGCGGTCCTAGAATACAGAAAGTAAATTAAATGCTTGATATTATTTTATTCAGTTTCCATGAACTAATTTGAAAATATTCAATGACACCGTTCGGAAGAAAAATGAACACAAATTTTCTTTTGCGTGCATACGTTCAACTTAATATGCAATCATGATAAACATCAAACAGCGAGTGACGCTAAAACATAAACCTCCATTCACCCAAATTGAGTAGAATATTCCTTTTATTGAAAAGCAGCAATGAATATTTTATGCATGCCATGAATTATGCGCGGGGATGCATGAGATTGCACTGCTGTTTAGGTGGAGCCCCAAAGATTTAGAGTCTCGGTAATCAAGCTGATCGGACACTCGATTTACGCTGCAAATCCTTTATTTATTGAGACAAATTGGACACTTCAACAAGGTCGAGGGAAGCAGCCGAGAGAGCGCGAGGGTCGGGCACTGGCCAACGACAGTGACTTATATACGAACGCTTGTTCCGGAGCAAGACATGCGCCAGCAGCAAAATAGAAACTCGACCAACGTATTTTACTTGAAAGTAAAAACGACGCTTGTGATGAACTGATAATCTTGCTTGCTTGCTATGGCAATTATTAAATCATTTCGTATACAACAAAGGGCATGGCGATGATATAATAATATAACACATTAATTAGTAAATTTTAGGTTTGAAGACAAATTTTATGTATGAAAGACTCTGGTCAATCGAGAAGGAACGACACATGCATATAACATGTATCAAGAATCGCTTTACAATAAATTTAATCTTGAATAAGAAAGTAGAAAGAACTTATCCATTGCGCCTATTATTAAGTAAGTTTCTAGCGCATTATCAACTATTATCAACTATTGCAACTAGCGCATTATCAACTATTTCAATGCACATAAATAATACAAATAAGATTCAGAGGATTAATTCAAGAACAATTAAAGTCGAGTCAATTTAAACACAGCAAAGTTTCATTATCCTTAATTGTTAAAGAAACAAATAGTAAAGATCAGCTGAATAAGAACTGTGACATTTGTCCCGTGTGCATCTTAACCTCTTCTTCTTAACCTTCTCTTCAGACCAAGATAAGGATTTTACATGACAGGCTTAGCAACTATGGCACGCACGCATATCCCAAATATAGGAACGGAGTGGCGATGCCACAAGATTCACTAGCGTATTCACTAGTACATGACCATGATAGCATGGAAATTAGTGTGACATATTTGTAGTCGTAACTACACAAATAGCGTTGAGCTCTAATATAATCCTTTTTATTCAAGCCGTTGAGCCCGATTCATAGTACGTTCATCTGCATTAATTTCCAGCACAGCTCCAAATGTAGCACAACAGGATCGCACGCAAGATTGTCGTCTCCAGTGTGGCCGTAAACTAGCAGCGAACCAAGAAACATATGCTCGAATGTTCCCTGACATGAAATACGGCACTTGGCAGCGCATTAAGATTGTCATTATTCCGTTGCTTTCTCACAGCCGTCATATAGCCATATTTAAGGTCTCGGCTTCACAAGAAAATGCGGAAATAGTTTAAGAAATAATATAACGGTATATAGAGATTAATTTTCTCTCCCTTGCGGGCATATCGGAATATCCAAGCAAAACGAAAATCAACGAAGAATTCATCACTATATATTTATATGATATATTATTATCAGTTAAAATTCATATCGATTAAATATTTGAATCCACAATGATGTTTTTTATTCTCAGCGAATTCCATATTAGCAAGGCATAATCGAAGAGTAAATTGGAATAATTCGAGTATTTCAAAACGAATGAGATTAACAACAATTTCAAATATTGCGTTTAAACTGCTTTTTTTATTAAAGACGACTTTCGTTCCTATACTTACACGTATCTTTATATTCAAAAAGCTAATCATGCACAGGAATAAGCAACGAATTGAATGGGAATCAGTTCTGCATACGCTATCGCATGTTCTTGATACAGCTAGAGAACGCGTACCCAAATAGTGATGAGTGGCAACGCGACCACAAAAGCGGCGAATAACGGAGTTACGTTGCCCAATAGGACGATGATGATGGCGCCAGCGGCGACGTAACAACATTAGTTGTGTAGGCCAGGGAGCCTAACCGCGGTCACCAGGTATACAATGCGTAATCAGGGATGCCGTATCAACAATCGCTTGAGGCCTCAGCGCCAACGGATAGGCAGGCTGTTTGGCAGTGCAAGCGTATCACTTGCAAGCGACCTCGACATCCCTGCTGAACGTTTGCAGACGTGAACTGCCAGATATGTTCTTCGAGACTGCCATGATAGCAAAGGTCGTCGAAATGTTCGAAAATGCTCTCTGAAATGTGCAAGCTTTCATACATGCTAGATGGTAGCTGGTATCGGTGAATAAGATCACAAATGCATACTGATTTAGTGATTTAAATATTTATAGGATAAATATTCATATTTGAAGAACTAATTCCATGGTATTATTGTAACCTAATTTAGACGATCTGGCCGAAAATCAGTCGTAGCTCTGCAAACGCTGAGGATTAATCACCTTCAAATTGATGAATTAACACATTTAAGCCCCGTGTTCATATCAGTGGTCAAAATTTATAAACCTTCAATTGTGTTCATCAATTGAACCATTCGCTAAAGCATGTGAAGCAGGTACAAGTAGGAGCAGCGCGTGCCGAGATGAAACAAAAAGTTCCATGAGCTTCATGCTGAGCTAGCCTTAACGAGCTCACTTGATCAAGGACTTATCCTGGACAATCAGTTGACAGAACATTAACCTTTAATGCACTTCAAAAATATACAGCCCTCTGAGTTAAAGTATTTAATCTCGACACACAGCTTATGTTTGGGTCGATTTTCTGATAACAAAAAAACAAATGAAAGCTTGGTCATATCGACCAACAGACGAAAGACGCGGGCACTGAAAGAAAATGCAAGTCAATGCAAATCAAACGACCCAATAGAAGAAAGTGAGTGGAAAAATAATTGAAAGTAAAATTTAAAGTACATAGTGGCAATTTTAAGTTCATTGAATAAAATGCGTAATTCAAAATCAGGAACTAGAGCGGCAGAATACTTGGATGCAAGTGATGAAATATTCGTTAAGGTTAAAATAACGTACAGTTTATACGTCAGCCAATATACGGAATAATTTATCTCGAGCATAATACGACCGCGTAGTGAGTGTTTCTGAGCGTGTATACGGTCTGTGATGATTTTGAGAGAAAGATCAAAAGAGCAAGCAATAGAAGCGACGCTTATAATGAAGGTCGCGATGAAGGAGAAAGCTGGGACGGCAGCCCAGAACGTGAAGGTCAGCTATAAACTAAGATGCAAGAGATAGAGAGGAGCCGGAAGGAAGGAATCGAGATACGCATAAATATCAAGACGCTTCCACCGCGCAGCTCAGAACACGAGTAATAAACATGACGACAAGCACCAGAAACTTAAGGTCATGGGAATGCAGCTGGAACGCATCCAATGTAGCCATCCTCGGACAAGTACAGTATAAAGCAAGTATTTAATATCCACTTCGTTCACCTCCCAAACCATAGTACGAAATACGAAGGGAAATTAATTATTTACTCTATTCGTTCCATTTGTGAAGAATTTTGATACGTTTCTCGTTTAAAAAATAAGCTTTTTAAAAAAATTAGCTCGTTTAAAAAATCATCTTTTTTTAACTAACTTAGTTCATACATACAGAAATAACAAACAGAAAATGCATTAGGAAATGCACATATAGTAACATATATAATACATTGAAAATAAGTATGATATAATTTATTAACTGCGTTCTACATTTCAGTGGCATACTGTTACCCACGCATACTGGTTGCACATACACGCACTTGATATTCAAGAAATGAATTATTCCGATCGATAAGCAACAGCCACGGAAATCTCAAAATTTCAAGGGGCCATAAATTTATAATGAGGAATGGAACAAGGCAATATAATAGGCAGTACAGTATGGTAAACTTGTCGATAGGTGCTCGTATGTCCCCTTTAATAAGTCAATTCTTTGGAAGGCAAAATAGAAAGAGAGCTGTCTGAGCAGACGCTTTGTTGGGTCGCTACTAACGATGTCCTCAATAACAATGGCAGCGGTCTCGGCACAACAACCCAAAAGATCGCTAATGGCATCGAATGCTTGGCCGACAGAAAAAAAATTGGATAGCGTATCCAATTGATACTTGTCTCACCCGGAAATTTTATGAGACTGCACAAGTAGCTTCTATTACAAAATGACCGAGGAAGAGTAGACACAGGAAGATTTGGTGGCAGATCACTGCTTCAGAAGTTGCATGCCGAACAGATACGTATTATCAAACGGGGTTACCTTGCAGAAAGTCAAGTAAGGAGGAAAACTCATTATTTTTGTGAAACGAAGCGATAGAAACATGTTTTAGACCAATAATTTAATTAATACTGAGTTTATTAGCAAAAATGATCTAAAATGGAGTGAATTCAGGGCGATATTCCAACCGTTACTGGCGCCTTTTTTGGTGGACGACGAGGCACCGACAAGGTCTTCAGGGCCTCGGATTACCTCCAGCTCAGAAACGCGCCATAAAAACGAGAATTTTCTTGAAATACCGCGAAAAAAAACGAAGGGACATTTCAGGGTGATAAGCCTCGTGAGTTTTCATCATGACTGGTTATTGTATGACTAAACTTTGTATAAATTATGGGCGATTAAAAGATATTTCTCGAAAGATTAACAGTTGGAACCGGGGAGGGTTTGAAACTACTTTTGCTGAAATATCTGCCGTGGGTTAAATCCAGGTCGAATTTCAACGAACAGGGAAATCCTTTGGAAGACGGATATAATACTACAACCAGAACCATTTTAAAGAACATGGCAATCAAATCCAACTTCATGTGCAACACTCTGCAGCTTTCTTCTCGGGTACGTAATAAATTCTGTATTATTTGCTGATGATAACAGAGTTAACAGAAGTTACGCGTAAGCATCATGAACACAAAATAAAAGCGAAATTAAGGAAATCTCATCAGAGCGCACTCGTATCGTCGTCCGTTTTTGCAGGCGTTATGCAGGCCTGGCGCTCATCAGGATTTTTTTGCGAGGGATAGCGCGGCGGGAGGTCGCTTGTAATGCAGCGACAAACGAGGCACCTCGATTTTTGGGGCGTCTTGATGAGGCGCATGCCAGTGGCCGAAAACTTTAATACTCACCATCAGTAAAGAAATGCGTTTTAACGCGACAACTGAAACGCATATTCCGACGCAAGACTCGAATTTCCGGGCAAAATTACAACACTGCTAGCCAACATTCAACATAGTTTTCATGTTTATAATTAAAGCAGATCATAAAAAACGGAATCTATTAATCTTGTGGAATTTTTAATCTTGGTTGTTTTAGTTTCTCACAAATTAGAGTTGAAAGACATCCAAATGCTTCCAGCAATAATGATATATTCTTATTTTAGAAATCCAGGCGAGAGTCATGCTCATGAATAACTTATCTGAAAAGTGTAACTGAACGTACTGAAAAGTACTCACTTAGAACAGACAGGGTGTAGGTGTCGACTTTGGTGGTTCCTATGTTTTGATTGGTGGCATGGCAAGTGAACATCATATCTCTATCGACGGACGGAACAATCACAGAGATAGAACTGATAGTGTGCCATCCTCCGGCGCTGGCCTTCTCCCTGCGGTCACCAGAGCTGCGGTGAGGCTGACCGTCCACCACCCACGAGATCGTGGCGGGCGGGTTGGAGTTCTCGGTAAGACATGTCAGGGTGACATTTTCCCCCACACGGGCTATGGCAGGGCCCGTCACTTGCACGTGATCGGGGGGAACTGAAACAGAACACAAAAAGCATTTTAAGTACGAGATTACATACGAGAATTATTTTACTTGAAAAATTAGCATAAAAAACTGAGACGTACGATTTGAACGCTGGACGAAGTCTATAGGAAAGATTTTAAGTAATATGGGAAATCTCTTAAAACAATTCGTTAAAAATCTAAATTATTCCATTCATTCCGTTGACAAGGTCCTCCTTGACGGCATTAGATGGGAGCGTTGAAAGTAAGGAGTCACGCGGTAGTAATCTTGGCAGACATAAATGGGGGAAAATAAATTAGATTTAAATTTGGTCATATTAAGAACAAACTTTTGTCAATATCAGTGGTTTAAACACCCAAATCAATTGAGCCATGGAACAAATTACGAAGTTGCTCTTGTCTAGGACCAACAAGCTCCATACATGATAAATTATAATCCTGCACTTCTTCGGTCCTACACGTTTCCAATACCGACTGATAACAAGCTTGTGAATGAGACGCTTATAATAAATCAATTCCGTCAAATAGAAAAGGGTTCAGGAACTTTTATCGCAAAAGGCGAGACGTAGTTCAGACCGCGCGTTCTCGGACCAAATTACACGAGATGGATGACAATCGTTCGTAAAATTAGGATGATTCCGAGGAAAATTGCTCTGCCACTCAACACAAGCAGCTAGGCGTCCGAATTGCCAGGTTTGTACAACGGCAGCTCGAGACTACAAAAATGTGAATAAACTTCGTAATTGCACCCGGCGAAAGCATGTACTTAGTAGCGAATTGAGTTAACGACAGTTCGCTTTTAATCACATTTGTTATTTTTATTAAGCCCATATATCGAACTTGACTTGGAAGGAAGGTTTCATAGAATCAATTAAGACACAAGCATATGACAAGATGCAAAAATGCAAAAGATGCAAAAAAAAATAGTTTGCGTGCGCATAATAGAAACTAGAAACTTTGGAGTCAGAAATAGTTTCAGTGAATTAGAAACTTCAATTATAAAGATAAAGTTTTAGGCAGTAAGCAAAGGAGTTTAAAAAGTTGTCAATGAAAGAACATTGAATTATGATTAAAAACATAATATATTCAAACTTTTGAGAACTTTTAATTGCATTTCTAAGGGAATAATGGGGATTCAAAACCAGAAATTAATTGAACGCGGCTGAGCGAGGAGCAGAAATGATGAGTATTAATTGCGACACTCTCAGTGGAAATGAAAAGAAAATAACTATGCCAAATTTGAAGCCCAGCATCGTGCCTAAAAATATATAAGACATAATTACGAAACACGATTCTACAACTTAATAACCGAGTTTGAATTTTACTAAAATTCCACACGATGATTAAGGGCGCATACTGCACTTTGCAGTATGCGCCGAAATAAACGAAATTAAAAAATAAAAATCACCAAGACGCGAAAACTTTTGCACTGAAGAAGCCGATTCTAAGGACAACTCCAGGTTACAATCCCCGACTCGGGACTACCGATGAAGAGCATAAGAGGACGTAAGTTGTATCGGGTATAACTGAAAACGATTTGGTCGGCTGAAAAATGACACTAACTTGGCTTCAGTTAAGGTCACAATTTAGCAAATAATGGCATTGTCGATAAAGAACGCATAAAGTTTATTGCCAATAAATACACGCCTTGAACATTTCAGGCAATCAAGGCAGAATGTTGCGTAACGCGCAAATCTAATCTAAAATGCAACCGACGAGAGGAAGAGCCTAACCGCAAATATCATTCAATTGCAGTACAAAATATTTAGCGGTAGAAAAAGCGAGAAAAATTATACAGGTAACAAATAATTAACTCCTTAATTTTATGATAATTTATTCATAGTTTAGCGAAAATAGCAAACCTGTTCCGTTATCAGCAATTAAACTCTATTTTCGGTTCAAATAGTAATTGTTTTTTGTCTTGAAAAATTAAAACATCGTTCGTCACGTGTAAGGTTTACATCATGTCAAATGAAAAATGAAGAACAGTCATGAAGCAAAAATTTCGAAGATGTATATTATTTCCAAAATGCTGAATGTTGCGTTGCGCACAGCAGAATTTTTCCCGAAACTGTATCTTCAAGCTTCACAGAAAGTGGAACACATAATTTTATGGAGCGGTGGAAGAATTCACAATGAACAAGTCTGACACGATCCGAACCCCTAAGCGAAAATCGTGAAGCCTGTACTGAAACGCGTCAAGCCGGTCGGTCGGTTCCTCTCAACAATATCTTAAATCTGAACAGGAAAAGAATATTATATTCTAGCAGCTTGTCCGAATTATGTTTCATAAAAATTGTTGAGAACTTTGCAACGGGCAAGTGTATAATTCCCGTCACGTGGGGACCCACTTTACACCCTCATTTCGATTCACGAAGCACGCGCGCCAATTTTGCCACTTTGGCTCGTCTGAAAATTTCTGCTATGAACGCCCAACCAACGGCAGAGACTTGCTTCGCTGGTCGCTGCAGCCTAACGAGCTGTGAGTTGCGCCACTCAATTACATGTCGAGTAACGTGCCTTATATTGCCACCGCCGCGTCCAGCATCACAGCTCGAGCGCTTATTCACAAAACGACCACCTACTATTTCTCTAATGTTTTATAGCAATTATGTCGTGATTAAGGAAGATTGAACAAAAATAACGCATATATCAATGTTCGCACTTCATTTCTGACGTGATTGTAGAATATCGTGGAACAAATGCGCCATATCTTGAAGCAAATACGTCGTTTTGAGATAGCTTGTTGATTAGAAAATGAATGACACTCGTTTCATACGCATAAACAAGAACCAAATCTAAGAAATATTTACATCGGAATATGATATCACTGTAATTCATTTTACACATAGAAAAAGGCATCAGAAAGGTGGCATCATTTTTTTATCGTTCAGCAATGACATTGATTTGAACCTTGAATGCCAACTTATAGTAAGTAATTGAAGGCAATAGCCATATTTTTGTAATATTTAAAAGGTAAATAAAACCTGACAGCTAGGGAGAAGAAGAGGAAAATCTCTTAAACAAAATAAATAACAGAAAATAATTGAACGACAATAGTTTTTGGGAGCAAAAAAATTTGCAAATAAAATTCGCAAAAAATTCAAAAATTGTCCAAAGAACTATCGAGCCTGCGACTCGGAAACAAAGTTCGGGAGATTTAAAAATTCACGAGTGCATAAACAGGGATAAGTTGGATGCTGCTAGTGCAAGATTCAGTCGCAGGTTTCAGCACGTAGCCTGATAAGCCAGGCACAAGGCAGTTGCTGCACTGAATGCATCAAGGGAAGGCACTGAACACGCCTTGTATACACAGGGAAATATTCAAGAAGTGTTTCTGCGCACACAGCTTGGCATCACGTAAGCCGCTGCAATGCCTAAACAAAATTTTCATTGGTGCTTATCCGTGAAAAAATAAACGTGTTGTTCTCTTGCATTTTGCTCAACACGAGTAAGGTGAATACATAATGTGTGTGAATGAAATGAAATTTTGAAGCCCGTAAAATATTTCAAATGTTGAAAATAATTAACTAAGAAGCTAATAATGATACATGTGTCACTGATCACTGAAGGTTAAAAGGTGATTAATATTTATTTAATAAGTAAATTTGGTTAGAAACTTGGATGAGTTGACGCACTTTCCTGACCGACAGCTGTAATAATGAAAAGTACGAAGTTGCGTAACTAAAGTTACGAAGCAAAAATATTCTCTTTGAAATAAAGATGCATAAGTGTTGGACCAGGAATAATCAATTTTCTGAAGTTCATAATATTTGAAAAAATTATCATTATTGCTTATTAGGTGTTGCTCAGAACAAATCCCAGAAATTGAGAATTAGTGCATCAAATAATCTGCCTATAATCATGAAAATTTGTATCTAAACTCTCATTTAACAAAAGTTTGGAAGCTTGAAAACAATTTACATTTTAATAGTTAACGTGAACTTTTCACTATATACCAAGCGCCGGTTAGGAGATCCTCATAATTTGAACGTAAGAATACAATTTCAGATTCGAGTAACATTTCAAATGACAGGTTTCAAATGCACCAACGAACAAACTATATGCCAAGAATTCGATATATAAATTAGGATCGATGAAATATTGAAAACCTATATCATTCTCTTTCAAAATATAAAATTTGTCCAATTCTTAATTACAACTTTTGCTTGATGCAGACAATGAATCTTCAATAACAAATGAGGCAAGATAAGACGTTCTCCCTTTCTAATTTTAGAACAAAATTATTATTTTCTCCCGCTGAATTTTCGAAGGCTTCAATTCTTCGGCCGTGACGCCCGAAAAAGAAGCCATGGAAGACTTCATCAGCAGTAAAGCCCAATGAGTTTTATGGTGAAGAATTAGAAGACAAACGAGCAAGAGCTGCAGACAGCTTTACGATTCTCCGTTCCAAAGTTTGGATGAGGGAAAAACTTTCCGAAAAACTCGTGCGCCGTATGGATTTGTCATCCAGAATAAAATTGGCCGCTTCGATGAACAACAAACACAAACAACAACTGTAGCGCCGTCTCGTTAGTTTGGCAATTTTCTGTAAGCACCCAAAATATGAAGCAATCTCAACTCAGCCAAGTTCGCTACCTTTTGCCTGAAATTTTGTTCAATACTCGATTGTTTTCACTAAAATCATAGGCTTGGCACGAATACAATGATATATTCAGTTCTCACATTTTTAACAGCTAATTACGACTTATAATAGACTTGAAATATGAAAGTGGTGTTTTTTCTTGCCATAATATGAATAGAAGTTTACATTTAAAGTTCAATGGAAATAATTATCATGGACAATGGACACTTGCAAAAACAACCGGCTAAAGTATGACACCTATACTGAAAATTTAGAATTTTTTTTGGGGGGGGGGGGTTTATAAAGGAATATACTACTTTACTAGATTCCAGAGCGAAACATCCGCACAACACAAAACATCCGTCCAACACAAAACATCCGTACAACACAAAATATCCTTACAACGTCCTTTGCGATGCACGCAAGCATCATTTGAGCCAAAGTACAGTAATTTAATAAGCATTCTTCGTAGAGCATAGCAACGTCAGGAATAACATGTGAACACGGTCGTCTGGTCGAATGGGAAATCAATCGATCATTTTCTGATCCGAAATTATCCAAAGAGTGTCGACGAACGTCTTAAGTAACTCAAAACTGCATAGTTAAAGTTTCATAAATGTGCTGCAATGAAATGTGGTTCTTAAACAAAATGTTTCCCTGAGCACAGATAAATCGCCTTCATTTTAGGAACGCTAAACGCAACAGAACGCTTTGAGTAGACGCTAAACGCAAGAGATAATATTCACTACTACGAAAATCGAAAGATGAAAATCTCGTCCGTAGAGTTAGGACGCCAAACGGTACCATTAGTTATGTTAGTGCGGCCGGAGAAGTAATCAGCCATGGCAGGTTAGCCACTTTGCAAGCAGGTCCTCCTGGCGAGGGCCAACGTCATTTATCATGAGCGAAACCCTATTGTCGCGCTGCGCTCCATCCTTCGACGAGCAGATCGAGCCTGGACCAACCAAACAACTCCCTGAGACACGCGACAAATACCGTAGAGCCGCGTCGGACACTTCAAGTTCGGTGCAGAGAATGCCAAAGGAAGGAGCAACTTCCTGCGACCTGATCTTTTTCTTGAGCGCTAATTAAATTTCTTAAAAGTTACAGCAGAGTTTAACTCAATCCTTCCTTCTTCCTTGGCCTCATAGGTTGGAGATTTCTTTCATTACAATGGATTTTTGTGCGCGGCTCATTAAATGTGTTTTCAATGTACTTCCAAGAGGCAATAGAGTTTATTTCCTAAAAAACATGCAATATCAACGAAAGTTTAGTTTTCTACCGTTTCTTTCCTATTTTTCTTTTATTATTTGATGACTCTAACGAAAACGATACATTATTATGTTATAAACGCTTCGAAAATCATTTGGCTAGTAAAAAGTTACCGCAAATACCGACTGGCACCATTTGAGTTTAAGATAACAATCTTAAGGTCATTGACCTAGTAGTTGTTCAAAGTGACGTTTCTGTCAGTAGGCATGCTATACATAATTTACTAAAGATTATTACTAAAAATTAAATGAAAATAAATTACAAGGGGATATCGCATTGAGTGCGATATCCCCTTCGATCAATCTAAAATAACAAATATGTTAGTTTGTACGAATAAGATCGAAATCCATGACTCAACAAACAGATAGGACGTTCCGATCCATTTAAAATGACTACTACTCACATTGAACATCGAGAGTAACCGAAGCCTCTAGAGGAACATCTGTGAGTTTGTTCATAACTTGGCACGTAAACACGGCACCGTTGTCGCTGGAATTCGCCACAAGCTTGTAGTCGTTGAGGCTACCCCCGTCGAACGGTCGATCACTGCTGTCGATATTCTCGCCGTTGCGAAACCACAAAACCTTGGCGAAACAAGAAAAGAAATTAGAGACTACAAGAAACTAAAGCTGTTTCAGTCGTCTTTGTATGCTCCGTCTTCAGTCGTCGGAGCATGGTGTACATGAGTTTGGCGCACTATGTTTTTAACTAAAAAATTATCACATAGGAAATAGTGCGAGTTGAAAAATAACATTACCCTTTCCGGTCAAGGGATTGAGATCATAGTTGAATATTAGGCTTACATCCATGAAAGAAAGCAACAAGCTGGAAGAGGTGATATAACCGCTCGGGAGCTTTGGATGATGTGAAGCATCTTGGGAAGATTGATAAAACATATACAAGAGGTATAATAACACACCTAGGAAGGGGTGCATAATGAACACAGGGGAAGGTGGATAATCCACCAGTGAGAGGTGATGCAACGCGCCGTGCATGGGTTGAGGTGACTCACTTTGGCCGGAGGGACCTACCTAGTGAGGGGTGATGCAACGCACCGTGCATGGGTTGAGGTGACTCACTTTGGCTGGAGGGTTGCCGCCACGAGAGGCGCAGCTCAGAGTGCGTTCGTCCCCGGAGCTGATGGTCTCGCCAACGCTGTAGCCTGTGATGATCGGGGGGCCAGGAGGGTCTGAAGAAAACAATGTCAAACACAAAACTTAGCACCGGTTAATTTGAATCAAACTATAGAACTTAGAACCTATTACTGATTAATCGATGTATTAGTGGCGATCACCGTAAGGTGAGTTTACAGCGTTACTAATGGTGTGCTGTTGAACATGCTGCAGGAAATGAATAGAAAGGCTCAGACTGACCGGTAATTTACCGTACATTAATATCTAGCCGGCTTGCGGAAAATTAATTACCCATTAGCATTACCTGTTAATTTAGGGAGTCAAATTCATAGTCTGATCAAAATACCGCTTACTTTTTCAACAAAAAAATCATTTCAACTTTGAGGCACTTCGCTCGACCATAAAAAATTTACAGGAATCCGGCAAGGTGCAGTAAGTTGCGTCTCGCTCCTCACGAGGAAACCATGATGAGGACTACAGAGGTGGTTCTACAGCCATGGCAGAGCGCTCAGCCACGAACTTGTTGCATAACCCGAGAAATATGTGACTGATTACATGGGCAAACCGTCCAAGTTCGACGCCACGACCTCGCCACGAGCAAAGTCCTTTTCGTTAGCAAGAATTCCGGGATTGTGCCGGCCTCGAGATCAGCCAGATTTGTGCGAGATCGCAGCTAGTACACGCGTAAGATCAGAGCTTAAGAGCCAAGGATTGAGAAGCTTAGCTAAATAAATGTTGGAGCGTCGCGCGGTGGACGGTGCACGTGCTCCTAATGCCAAATGGGCTGATGCTGAGGAAAACAATGTCCTTTTCACGGAGCAAAATGTAAGGAAATTTTTAGGGCGAAGTGAGTTACAGAGATTTTTGGTTTAAATTGAGTCAATAGGTACACAAGAATACATAAATGTGTCAAAATAATTAAAGAATTATTTCTCAGGAGTTTTGGTTGCGTTCCAGTAACGAACTCGAGCAATTTAGAGCATTATAAAAACTCTTTATCAAAGACTTGCAAAGCAGTGATTAATTTCACTTTGGATTAGAGTCACGACCATTGAATAAATTAACGTTTTTTAGCCAAAATGATAACTGACATATGCAATAATCACAAATTATAAATAATAGAGTGTCGAGTCACACGTCCTAATTCGAGATTAAAAGTAAGACCAGTATAAGTTACCTAATCTAACAACATCTAAAAGGCAATAATAAATAACAATTAAAGCAGGTAAAACATGTATGCGCCTTATTTAAAAAAAAAATTATAGTCCGTTAGAGTTTAGATAGAACCATAGATTTGAAACCCGGAAAAATTAATCAGAGAACTTATCCTTATAAATGTCATATGTACAAAGGATCAATTTGAATTTAAAATCACGGCGTTACATTATGCTTCCCAATTAATAAAATCCTCATAAAAAATAAAACAATTTAACGAGTATCAAAAAAGAATTATACGCAACTGCTCACTCACATAAGACGGAAATTCTGACGGAAGCGACTTTCGGCAGATCAAGGGCGGGATGTTCGGCTTGACACGAGAAGACAGTGCCGTGGTCCTCTGCCGACATGCGCACTGTGATCTTCGACAGGAGGTTGTGGCGGCGGTGAAGGTGCGATTCTGATTGTGTGTCTTCCCTTGTTTCTGCAGATGAATAATAAGAGAAACTGGTATGAGATTTTTTATAAATCACACCTTCGTTTTTTGCTGTCGTTTTCAAAGCAATGATTACTAGACATATTTCAACTGATGTGTCAATTAAAAGAAGGCTTAACATTTCCAGAGAGAAAACAGTTCCCCTGAAACCAAAATCAATCATAAAATATGAGCAAAACAAACTAAGCGGGTAATACAATTTTAAACAAACGAAAAAGAATAATTAATTTAATAGTATATAAAGTACAAACAAGGAGTCATTCAACGCCAGAAAATAAAGGAATTATCCGCGGCCTTCGAGCAGACGTAAACGATGAAGGGCTGTTAGCACAGATCTCTTGGCTATATCAATGAAGCCGAGTCCATTTACCAGCAGCCGAGAAAAAGTTGGGCGAGCACCAAATCATGCTAGAGCCGAGGGATCTTATAGGCCTGACACTCTCTACAGATGGGACCCTTTGATGGTCTTCGGGAATATTGGCAGAGCGTTTGACAGGGCAACATTCCATGGACTTACGCGACCGCTTGGTCGGTAAAGTTCTTCCATTATTACACGGCCATAGAGAAACATGGTCGAGGGTAGCTGAATGACGCACCTCGGCATCAGGACGGAGATGGATAGCATCAAAATTGGGCAAAATAAACGGCAGCCATGAAGGCTTGGAGGTAAGCCTCTTCACAAGATGATCTACGCAGACGTAAACTTGCAATAACCAGTACTGAAATGAAAGTCCACAATGTTTTTTTTTATTTTAATTAAATATACAACAATGGGTATATTTGCTGGCTAAAAGGCGAAACTAATGTAAACGACATCTTATTAAAATGTGTGTTTTTTCACTCGATCGTGTCCGCTCACAAGTTACAATGTTGATCCTCGCGCCCAAGAGGGCATTTCTTGAACGATCAAAATGACAGCTGTTGCTCATTACGTATGCCTTTTTTTAATGTATTCTGATAAAATGAATTCAGAAGCTGACAGAAAAAGTACAGTTTGTAAATATCGAGCACAATTTGAAATGAAATACATAAATAAAATTCCATTATGCAACCTAGTAGAAGCGAACCGCGGTTCGATGAGTCGTAAATCTGCACGAGTTTCAACAGAATAAAACTAGGAAGGGAGTCGATGCTTCAGTGCTTGAAAAAAAACGAGGCTCAACGCTGACAACAGGAAGACAAACATGAGCTCTCTTGTTGGACGACGAAAAACGATGGCATAAGGCCTCTCGTAACGAGAGGATATGTTCATTCATAAAGATCCATCCATCCAAGGGTTGACGCACACAAACGAGGAGCCTGAGCAAAATATTTCCTTAGCCGAAAATGTTCTGGATCATCACGTCGAGAAGATGAAGCAACCGCAGATTATGATAGCAATTCACGGCGAACTCGAATCAACGAAGAATATTCCATGCACTAATAAAATCCATCTTAAAGTGCGGTGTATCATTCTTCATAAAACGTTAGTGCAGAATCGTGCAGAAAATAAACACGCGCAAGAAAGAAATGGGCACGTGAGAAATTATTTTTTGCTATCAAATACATGAAATTATAGTAACACAGAAGCCCTCTGACAAGCTGTAATGAAAATATGGTAACTATGACCAAGGGAAACGAATAAAGAAAAGTATGCGCGGGAAAGAACAACTCTCGCCGAATTAAGTTCCATCTAATAAAATTTCGGCGATAGGTACTTTCTGGAACAAATGATCGCTTCTTTCAGCAATGAGGCAAAAGCACCGACATTTTTCAGCGATCAAATATCACTCGCTAGACGAGCCAAAGACACGAGAATCTTCAAACACCACGGCGGAGCACGCAGTATAAATCCCAAGCTAAAGTTTAAGAAAAAAAGTAACTGCAGAGACGCTCCAAAGAGCTAATCTCGAGTAGGTATCATTGCAGATCGCTTGAGAGCGCGATCACGGTTGAAAATTCTTCAAAGGCTTCAAAACATTCCGATCACCGGAGTGGCTCCGATGGAAGGAGGGACCGATAACTGTACGGTCCGTGTAAGACTTAGCAGTGATCGTCCTATGAGCTCGAAGAACTGTTAGGAATTCCGAGACTTCTCGGAGTAATTCATTGACAGATGGGAATTAAAAATTTAGTCGTCACTAATTGGCCATCATTCATTCACAGCACAAACATAATTTTTGTTCATGAAAACATGTTTTAGTTGTTTTAACATAATTGTTAAAGAATATAACGATCAGTACTCACTGCATTGAGTGACAGAGAGCGCATTTTCTCGTGGACGAAAACGTGATGTCGCGGACGGACGGCCCGACAGACGGACGGACCGACAGACCGACCGACCGACAGACGGACAGACCGACCGACAGACAGACTGACCGACGGATGGACGGACGGACATGACGAGCACAATAGCGCCTTTTTTCCATAAATGAGAATAATATGCGTTTAAAAATGACTTTTTAAAGACAACACTTCCAAAGAATCCAGCGTCTCCGATGTTACACATGTACAATGAATTTCTAATTTTATTATCAAATATATAAAAAATAATTTTTAAAATTTATTTTCAAAATTTAAAATAAATTTAATTTTTCAAAATTATTTATTCTGTCATTTGGTTCATGCATTGTCTTTGACTTTACGTAAGTGTGCAAAATTTCAGTTCGATTGGACAGGTTCAGATCAGAGTTAAATATCGATTATAAGATATGTAGCAGACACAATTATTTTTTCAATTTTTTTTTAATATTAAAAATATAATTTTCTAAATCTTCAAAATTATTCATTCTTTCAATTGATTCATGCATTGTCTCCAACTTTACTCTAGTGTGCAAAATTTCAGATCGATTGGAGAGGTAGAAGTGTGTTTCATATCGATTATAAGATTCGTAGCAGACAAACAAACAACAAGAAGTGAAGTTAAAGAGAAGTGTTGTAAAATGCGCTAAAAATGACCGAGTTATATTAAATGATGAATTTATACAAGCAAATAGCTCCTGGTAAATAGCAATTATCTCAACATATCCACCAGTCATCATTAATTAAAGCCTATTTAAATTCCATTACACATTGAAATAAAATTGTATTAACGCACTTAATCCTAAAGCTCTTCAGCTACTGGCTTGAATTGCGCTTTGCAATCCAGTTTGCACTTAAGAAATAGAGCGCTTGCAGTACAACAAAACTTCGCAGAAGTATTTTGGAATTTCATTTCTTTCCTATGTTCCGATTGGAAAGAAGGATTGGTCACACATGTTGTGCCCCCAAGCAGATTTCTGGTTTGAGTGCACGGAGAGCAAGTGGGTTGCGTTACTGATGAGGTCACTGACACGACGGCTAGGAGGCATGGCAGGGGCTACCTACTGCGCTAAGCTCGACCGCCACACCCCAGCCGTCGGACGGTCTTGATGCGTCGTTATATATATACTTGAACGAACTTAGCCAACACTTACGTACTCAGTTTGCCTTGGGTGTTATCAATAATAAATTCTGATTCGGTATTAGAGATTCCAGCAATATTATCGCATGTTTTTGACAATACTTTTCCGTTGGTAGAAATTGATTCAATTGAGCCCAATAAAGAAGTCACGGAAATAAAAGCAAGTATGTACGATGTTAATCACCAACCGATCGCAGGAAGGGAAACACAATAAATTATTTCAAGAACTGAGTCCGCGAACTGTAATTTTTAAGTTATAAGCCAGATGTAAATATTCGTCTCATGAAATAAGCAATTACTATAATTAAAAAAAATAGTTATCTTGCAAAATTTAGGACCATGGCATATAAAAACATTATTTGAATTTTTAATAGAGGTAATATTTCTGAAATCTCTCGACACACGATTCTAGAGACATGCTCACACCAAGAATAATACGGTTGTTTCTCGACACAAACAAATCGCGCGAATATAGAGCTTATGATGCACAAGTTCAGAGCAAGAGAAGCAGCATGCGATGTGGCAGCGAGCACACCCGGATCTCAGCCAGAGATCACACACAACTGCTTCATATTGAGGGCTAGATGCACTGATTTTGTTTATGATGATCATGATGAGAAAGAGCTAAGAGAAGAAATATTCATAGAAAGTTCAGTCGTCAAATAAAAATACCGATGAAAATTTTGACAAGATATAAGTGAGCTCATGTCAGCACGAATAATAGCTGATTAATTTGAGGAGTGAAATCTTCATTAATAAAAGCGTTTCCTTGAGATCCATGACCAGAATTCCAGAGTAAAATGAATATGTAAATATGACAGCAAAAAAATATTTACGTAATAAATGAACGAATATCAAATTTCAATGAAAAAATTACAAGCAATGTCGCCGCAACAATACGAAATAAAAATTGTTCATCTATCTTCGAGAAAATGTGGAGACAATAGGTTCACAACTGGAACCTGTCACTAAAGAACGAAGTTGGAACACAATTGAAGTTGGCCGTCAATGCGTCATGTCAGCAATGCCAAGCTCTTACCTATTAATCAGTGAAATTTGTCGCTGCTTCGAGTTCGGAATTGCAAACGGCAGCTTCACAAACTAGGCACAAGTTTGGATGGGAGGTCCTCAGCAATTGCTTCGAGTTAGATTGATGAGATACAATCATCTGGGTTGAAACTTCACCATTTGCTTAATTATCTCGAGCATTACTCACTCGAATTTTCTCCTAGAAAACGTCCCCGTAAAGATCTTGACAAATGGGGGTGCTTTGGGTGTGACACGGTCTCCATGAAGACAAAGAGAAAATCTAGCAACTTGAATGAGGAGCGAAGCTCGAAATTTATAAATACGAGGATTACTGGAAAGTAAAGTTTGTGTACAACATAAATGTTCACATCGATGGCAAACAACAATCGTTAATTCATGTTAATGAATAAAATACTACTCATTAAATATCATAGGTCTGCTTATTATATACCTAGTAGGGTCCGTCCGTCCATGCACAACAAGGACTGCAACGAATTAAATTCACGCATTAGATAAATTCGCACACTATCAGCTTTAATAATTTCCAATTTAATTATCTAGGCAAGGGAGCTCATATGCTTCTGAACAAGAATTTTTTTGTAACGTAATCGCTTCGCTGTCGAACTATCAGGGACCAGTTTCTCACACATATCCGTCAGCTCGTTTTTACACCGTTCCTTAACATACTACTTCTTTAATATTAAACTGTACTTAGCTATAAACTCAATTTGAAATGTAGGGCTCAACTTGCAACATTCGTCGCAACTAGCAGAGAAACGAGCGATCCCGACGAAAAGATAATAACAGCAAGACAGAGACAATGAACAATTCAGACAGACAATAAACTCGTGTCTCCTTCGCGATATCTCAACATGAGGTCACTCACAGCAAGAGGAACCTGAATGATCCAGTGCAGCGAACATCCTCTCTTCAGAGGCGACATCAAAGGGACGATATAGAGCAACTTGGCGGCTCTCATGTCTCACGTCTGCGGCGCTTCAAACGTGCGTGCTTTGCCAATTTAATTCTAGTTGGCAGTTGCTTTCCATCTAATTAGTGACATCTAATGAGGCCGTAATATATCACTATACTTAAATCATATTCTCGAGGGGAGGATGCGTGCTGGTAAGTCCATGCGAGCGTAACCTCTGCGAGGGCGAATCTGATTACCGGTCTTGCTTAATTGCGTTACCTGACCTTCTTTCATTATGCTGTAGTGCGGCGTGAGAGCGAGCATTAGAACAGCAACTAAATAGAGACAGATATTATGTACCTCAAAACAACGGAAAAATGTTCGATGCATTCATAGAGCTGGCAACAGAAATATAAGTCCTAGATTCATTTATGACTAAAATTAGTATCAATTCAACTGAAGGATGGAATTTCAAACGGAGTGCGGAGTTCGAGCCAGAATCAAACAAGGTTGACGAGTTTAACTTTAAATCAGAATTATAAAGCAGTGAAAAGGGACAGAATTTTATGATGTTCTACTCATCATTGAAAAGTAAAACTACATTTATATAAATTTATCCAAAAATTTCTAAGTTAAAGAGAGCAAGGAGTTGAAAACTTCTAAAGACGTCCAGCCATAACAGTATTCCATAAGAAGTTAACCTATACTTTAGAATGTAGTGCAATAATAATACACCAGCACACATAACTTCATAATTTCGGACGTTCAGTTGACTATCAGCAGCGGGATATTTCGAAGACATTTATTCATCAATAAAACCTAATGAACTGCATCACTTTTCGCCTCTTACAATAAAAAATCTTATGAATGATAAGGAAATTGGTTCAACAAAAGAATGAATGCCACAATTCTTGTAATAATGAGGACACGTTTCATGAAGCAATGAGTCGACATTTACGAGGTATGCCAAACTCAAGAATTTTGACATTTTTCAAAAGAGCGTGTGAATCCCTACAGATATCTATTTCCTTTACAAAGTGGCAAAACATCTCGTGGATTGCAGACAGCGAATGAGACTCGCATGATATGAAATGTTAGTCATTTACATGAGAAATTTGAGGCCTCCCTCGACACAGCTCGCGCTCATGTTTTGGCCGGTCATGCAAGGAATGGCGCAATTTTATGTGTCAGCCAACGAGTGCAAATATTTCAGTTGGTTCCTGGAAGGAAATGGTTGTTATGATGCGCTGGGGGGTCCAGAGGCAATTTCTCAATTTCTCAAACGCCTTTCAGGGCACCACATCAAACATGAAATATGGAAGTGCAGTAGCGGTCCAGGCCTATCATACACGGCAGATTTTCCTAAGAGTAGCGCACTGGGAAAATTTTTCGTATCATCCATCAAAGGGAATCGACAACCACAGCCAACAGGTGCCAATTTTGGAAGGTCTAAGACGCAACCTCCGAGAACCAAATGGGCTGCTAGGAAAGAACCTAACGCCCAAGGGTGCTGGCACCACAGTTTATCAAAATTCCTAGGATATATAAATATATGCAAGATACTCTACACGAGTGAACACAGTGCTAAAAATTTGACTATAGTACGTTTAGTAAGATTTAGACACGCAACATATCATTGAATATAAAAATTCATTACTAAAAAAAGTAGTGTGTTTGTAACGGCAGTCGCGAAAAAGTTATACATTTCGTTTAGAGCAAGAACAATCTACAAAATAAACAATCAGCACCCGAAAATAAATAAGTCAATAACTCACCAAGCGCAATACGCCTGTCATTGCGGTACCAGATGACAGATGCAACAGGTTTAGCCGCCTCAACCAAACACTCGAGTGTGACCTCCTCTCCCTCGGTCACTTCAAGCATGTCCTCGCGTCCTCGACCTTTGAGGGTGACGCTCGTCGGTGCCACTGTAAAATATGAGAGCTTGCGTTAGTATCACAGTGAAGTACTCACGTGTGCAACGTACGTGTAAGCCCCACGTACATTTTAATATGAATTGAGGAAAGAAAAACACATTAGGTTTTACGACGACACTTCTGGAATTTCAAGTCGAATGAACAGAATATAAAAAATTTGTACTATAAGTTCACAAAAATAGTACCATGAAATGAATAATAGAAACAAGCGATAAGTTTACAGCAGAATTTGAAATATACGTACTGAAAATTTTATCGTATAAAACACAAAGACTTTTTCAAAAATTAAGCTGAGTATACATCGCATTTCGGCAGATCAGACATCGAAAGTGGTTCGTGTTGACTCGTTTCCCCGGCGGAAGCGTATGTTTGTGCGTAGGGGTTGCACCGTGAAGCAGGCCGTAGAAGCGAGGCAAATTTATGCGCTTACCCAAAGGCTCTGTCGCAGCCCAAGAGTTACGAGAATAAGAAGCGAGCGCCAGCAGAAGCGGTGGCAAGGGCCGCGACTGCTTCAAAGCGGCTCAAGATACGTGACCATGAGAGATATTTGCTACGTGAACTGATTCTCAACGACATATATATGAAAAACTTCGTGGTGCTACTTAAAAATTAGATGAATTCAACACCGGAAATTTGTGTTGGGTGTCTTCTATTCGAAAAACCGATGCGGTATTAGAGAATACCTTTCCGATGGTATAAATTTCAAATTAATAATTGCCAATTGTGCCTCAAATAAATATTATATATTCGAGTAGAGGAATAATATACACTCGAAATGTTGCTCTTCTTATTTGATGGTCAACAAAAATTCGAATAACCGAAATCAAGAAGGGTTTCTGCCGAGATGGTAATAAATGTGATTTCAAACTTCAATGCCTTAGAATGCTTAGAATGCTTGAAGAATGCACTACTGCAATGAAGACAGCTGGAGACATCAGTTCAATCTGTATAGAAAGCATTCAAGAACTCAACAGTAACAGCCAGAATTGCTCGTAAAATTGGAATGAAGCTGAAGGAGAGCAGCACGCAAGCTTGACGCTCCGTCGAAATCATTCCATTGAACTCAACGGAGAAGTGCACTTGAGCAGGATCCTAATGGTCCATTAGACGTAGAATGACATGAAACAGTAAACAAGCAACCATGTCCTCTGGTGACATTACGGGGTTGCCTGATGAATGTGAACGAAGCACCATACTCATCTTTAATGGCAGGCAGTGATTTAGCTGCCTGCCTACATTTCCAAGATTGCATTAAATGATGCTGCAAATTAACGAAAGCAATATGAAGAACGATTTTCAATTGATGACTTCATGATAAATTTTCAGCGAAAAGTAGATACATTGTTAATATAAGTTAGAAGTAATATTTGAGAGTTGTACCAGTTAGTGACATTCTGCCGACATGGTTTCACAAAGGCCAAGTTAGTTCAATAGGTTGAGAGTTGCGTTATAGGACGCAGCACGTCGGAGTATAGCTAGAGGGAAGGGATCGTCTTGAAGATGCCTTTGTAGAGTATGTCACTCAAGGAGCTTTGATAACGCCAGGCTAACAGTAATCTACGTGAAATATAAGACATGGAACGGTTGCAGCAGAGTCTCTTTATTGATATGAGAACGCATGTCCGCGAGATAGCTGCTTGTGCGACGCCTTGCTAGCAATGAAATCTAGAGCTAAAGTTCAAGCTTTGAAATTGATAAAATAAGAATCTTTTATCGAGAATAAGAGATCCACGGTTTCATACGATTGAATTTGTTATCGTATTTAAGATTGATGGAAATATTTTCAGAAATCACGCTTCTGGATAAACTTCATAACTACTAAAGTACAATGATATTTAAGCCATTAAATTATTACTAGAATATATTCTAATTAGTATTAAACTGCAGCGGTTAAGATGAGAAATTAGGCTTACAGAAGAACTTGTAATCCAATATCGGGTTAATTATAGGCAACGAAATTTGTACCGGATAACTGGTGAATGCATTCAAAGCATTGCAAAATCTACGTAAGGAAATTTTATTCGGTGATATTCAGTAGCGGAACTTCACAACTTACCCATGAACACATTTCAGGGTAATCTGATCTAATCCGAAGCTATAGATTGCAGTCTTGAGAATAGATGTTTCCAGTGGAATAATATTCTGGGTTTGATTTTCCGCTCGGCCGCATACTTCCCAATGAAATCAAGATAGAAAAGGGCAACAATTCCGCCCTTTGAATGGAGTTCTAAATCAAATCAGATGCCGACAGTTGCGACTGCCGCTGCCGGCCGAGCAGATAAAGGAGCGGTTAGCAGTAATGCAGACTCCCGGGCTGCGTATATCGCCAAATTCAGACGAATTTCGGCTGTATTCGAGGATGTACTGAATTTTAAAACATATAGCAGACGAAAAAAATTCAGCGAAGACCAGAAAAGCATTCCCAATACCTAGATATTTCACTTCTTTCAAACCCGAAAACAACATCTGCAATGAAGAAAAAATATAACTCTGTACTCACTGCAGTGAGTGACAGAGAGCGCATTTTTTCGTCGACGGAAACGTGAAGTCATGGACGGACAGAAGGACATGGCGAGCAAAATAGTGCATTTTTCCATACATGAGAAAATGCGCTAAAAACAGGTCAGAGGCCATTCTTTAGAAATTATGAAACATGAAAGTTATAAGTTAATTAATACAGGCGAAATTATGAAGCCTGCATCTTCGATTCCGGTAAATTGAATAAAACCTCGAATTAAAGAGTAGTAACTGAAATAAAGCTGGAAGTGCTTAAAAATGCGCTAAACCAACATGTTTGACTTCATGGTTGGCCGAAAAAGAAATATTGAAAGAACTGAAAATAGTTCAGTAATTTGATATATATGAGACGAAACAAATTTACGACTGAGAAATGTCACTCCTTATTTTCTTGCCCTGTTACGTCACGTCAGCACGACAAATAAACAAGACATTTCACAAATTCAGCTTCATAAAAATTCCTAGCGGATGGGCAAGTCATCGGAAAACGATTGAAAAAAAGAACCGTAATTAAATAAGGGAAAAGCTGGCTCATAAGAGTAAATTCTATCTGGGTAATTAACGGAAACCAACAAATTCTAAATTCTTGTCAAAGAATTAAAATAACATTTGCAAAGCGATATGCGAGGGTTGGCTGAAAATATTCTTTTTATTGTCGCGGGGTAACGTATTGATCATTTAAAATGATAACTAAAGCGACGAAATTAACTCAACAACATCCGAACTCAGCGGGATGCTTCTGTAGGAAGTTAGCGACTTTCAGGTTCGACAAAAACTATGTTAACCGAACTCTGTAACTTGCACTGAAAATATAAGTGAAGCCGTTCACAAATAAAATAAGGAATATTTGAAGCTTATAATCCTTTTCAACACCCTTGAGCCTTTCAGTCGAATACGGCAGTCACAATCTAGATTTGCGTAATTAAATGCTAAACACAGCGGTTTAAACTGCATCGAATAGTTCCAGGCCACAAATCAAACAATGCGTAGGGACATAAATTCACGCCTGAATTGGGACTAAGCGTAGTGAAAAGCGAGTGAGCATTGCGGAAGAGTAGTGCAGGAGCAGCACAAACTAGCCATGCAGAAAGCCACAAATCTTGCGCCAGAAAGCAATGGGTATCAGGGGCGAGTGGCGGGCGCGACTGCACGGCGCACGGGCAAGGCAAGCCAGCCTCTACCGAGGGTCGTTCCAAGAGCGGTAGCCAGCGTCGAGTGCTGCAACGCAGCTTCTAATAGGATTGGAAGATTAATTAAGATTTAAAGGGCGGCCTCGAGTGACATTCGGCCCAATGTGGGAATTTGCAGCGCACTGATGAATTCTCCGAAAAGGAATCGCATAAAGTCATTAGGAAGGATAACACTTGCATACGGTGCCTGTGGAGAAATTCTAGTGGAAATCAGCATGTGGATTAGACAGGAACGTCTTCTAATAGCGCTCCAATAGCGTCGAGGTAATGCCATTCCCTTGACAAGAATGAGAAAGCTACTTGAATAACTAATTTTCAAGATTTTCCGGAGTAAAATTGATTTCTACCTGGACCATTATTATTTTTCTAAAATAATATGCGATTAATATTGCGATTACTATTTTTCTAACGAGGTATTGCATGGTATTGGCAACATTAAAAAAATATCACACAAGAGCACGCGGTAGACTCCTGCGTCTCGAAATAATTTTCTCGAAATGAACCGGGACAGACGAAACGAGACGAGAAAATTCCGGGAAAAAAATAACGGGACAGAGGGTAAAATTTGTCCCGGAATAAACGTATGAACCGAGACAAGACTTCTGTCCCGGACTTTAAAACTTGTGTCCCTACGCGTTCGGAACGAGTTCAGGCGCCGTGGAGCGCATAGGGAGTAGGGACGCAGTGTCTAGATTAGTCGGTCAATTAGTAGAGAGTGGAGTGCAGTCCTGGTAAGATATTCCTAATAATACTAAAGCTGGTATTAGATTATCTCTGCCTTTAGTAAAATTTTGTGCTACGCCTGGAGGAAATCTTCACAATTGCGCAGTTTCCTTAATTGTTATCAAACACTTGGGCTTGTTTAACGTTATTTATTATATTTTTTCCAACTTGAATTTCGTTGTATTTTAAAATGTTGTTGATTTTTCTTTCCAAACTTTTTTTTAAAGGAGATTACTTAAGGCAAGATCGATGAATCTGATTCTGTGATTGAGCTGTAGGCAAATTAATGTCTGTCCAGTCAGCCGATGTCACCAGCTACAGCTAGTATGGCCTCCTCCAAACCATCATAGAAAACAATTTTTGAAAAAAAGTGTTTTTCCATTTTTATTTGCCTGTCTAGATTAACTACCATATTAAACCAAAACATGTATTCGTAGCAAAAATCATTTCAATTGCCGAGCTCCAATCAGAATAGTAAAAGGATACGTCTCAAGTTATTAAATAAATGCAGAGGTGGGCAGTAGCGCGCTACATGTAGCGGCCGCTACATTTTCGGTAGCG